TACACCATACCACACTACACTACACCGTACCACACTACATCATACCACACCACACCATACCTCACTACACTATACCACACTACATCATACCACACCACACCACACCACACTATACCATACCACTCTACATGCATAATAAAATAAAAGTATTAAAGTACCCCATTATCTGACTGTATTCCAGGGGAATGGATCCTCTGATTTTCTGTGGTTTATGTGGAGTTGCCAGTGCAGGTGTTGGCTATGTTGTAGGATCAGCTCTCTTTGGTTCGTTATGGAGACTGTTTAATAAGGATGTATCAAGTAAAATGGAACAGGTAGTAAATTTAATAGTGCAAACCGCATATCTGTGAAATAGTACTTAATTAGTACAAAATAGCACCAATGAAACAATTGAAAGCAAAAGATATAGATGTGTTTAGTGCTATTTAGTTGTTGTGCTATTTCACAGATATATACGGTTTCACTCTAATATCAAAAATCTAGCAACAACCTAGGGTTGCATGGGTGTAGGAACACTGTGAGTTTATATAGGATGTCAAAGGGAATCTTGCTCATGAAAAAACATACCCTACTAAATTTCAATTCAATCTGTGATTTATCCATGGCCTGACTTTAATCAGCCGAGTGGTTGTTTCAGGGTATTAATAAAGTTTAAAGTTGAAGGTAAAAAACGTTTTGTGGTTGCTATTTTCAGCGAGAGGCYGATTTTTTAAAAAGAATTTCAGCAAAGCGAGCAGCAAGTTTCAGCAAATTTGAAGACGATTACTATGGCGAGAGTATCAAAACTCTGAGTGACTACAGACAGTGGCTCAGAGAACAAGAAAAGAAGAAAAAAGCTGCCGAAAGCTTTGAAAAGAAATCTGAAGACAAACAAGGACAAGAACAAACTGCCGAGGCATAAAGAAATTAGAAATGTTTGTCAATTAGGATGCAATGTGCCTTGAACTAATGTGATAATGTGTAAATAATGGCACTTGTATTGCAGGAAATGATAAATAAAGAAGTTTCTTTGCAGGGTTACAGCACCACCTCTCTCTATTAACTTCACCTGTCAAATGTTTTTTCGTGATCAGTGGAAGTTTAAATTTTTTCATACTTCTGTTTATGTTGTATAGATTCTTGTCTTTGAACTTCCCGTTGCCACACCTTGGTCCATTACCATAATTTATCAATTTCTCTCAATTTTTCGCTTTGATTTGAGGAGTCAATCAAAATACTAAAGTTAAGCCTTTTTCCCTGGGGAGCTAAGCTGAAAGCAAATGCATACATTTGTATGTACTTCTAAACATTAAATGAAGTATAAAATGAAATAACAAAAGAAATGGCTGGCATGTTGGATGATATAACCAAGAGACTAATGATGAATCTTTTGTTAAATTCATCCAACATGGCAGCTGTGAAAAACAATATTAGACCTAATTTTATACAGTTTGTCCACTTCAGACCATCTGTCATTACCTCGAGAGTAAGATTTTTTTYGTTAGAGCTGCATCCATATGTTGATAATGAGTCTTTTTAAGCTTACCTGATAAATGAAAGAAATAGTTATAAAGGAAATGCCAAATGGTGCGAAATGGTATAAACAGTGATCAGGTCTATTGGATTGAAGTTGATGCCCCTCCCACTACCACCGACCATTGTTAAGCCAACCACAGTTGATTATGTGCCTAGGATATACATACATACTGTCATTTTATTGAATTTGTGCGTAATGTCCGACATTTGAGAAACATGAACAATGCACAAACATATAGATACAGTTTAATGATTACAGCAGAGTGAGAAGCAACACAAACGACTAAACACAGAATTCCCTTATCTTTGTATTTGTTTTTGAAATAATTGCACCAGGCAATATAGTTAACAGAAGTGCAGTCCAAATGTTCCACCTGTAATCCTTAGCACCACACACACACAGGCACTCTGAGAATATTCTTTGGCAAAATTTATTTTCTACTCCTTGATTTATAATGAATAAATGGTTTGACAAATACAAAACACTCAAATGACGCTGAAGAATTACRAGATGGAAGTTGAAACTGCTTCTGAGAGTAGTCCTTGTTTTACTATACATACAGTCGATTCCAATACTCACAGAGCATTGGGTTTAGCATGAATTCCCTATAAAGAATATCTCAAAGTACAAGCAGGTTTACTTTCTTCGAAAAAATAAAAACGGTCAAATTACATTTCATTAATAACCGTTTACCATCCTGAAAGCATGTACGAGCATCATGTCACAATAGTGCGAGTTTCTATTGAGAATTCCTTCAAGTTTAACTAAACTTGCTATAATTTTAGTTGAGTAAAAGATATCTATTTGAACTGTTCAGTGATGATCCAATGTGTGGTGTATTTTTATTCTCTTATAAACATATATGTATATATATATATATAGAACTAGAACACAAATCCTAAATTTCTGTATCAATTTCTATTAGTGAATTAATCCTTCAAAATTTAATATCTTTGAGCTTGTTCCTACACTACTTTTGCTGTCATTTATTTGAAGAGTATTAAATGAAATCTTGGAGCTTTATCCCCTTGATCAAGCTAAGAAACAGCCAGCAACAGATAATTGTCTATCGATACAATTGTAAAATATTTTAAAAGTTAGGTGTTTTATGCAAATGTATTATTATTTAAAGGAAATACCTAATTAGTTTTCGAAGAATCAATGAAAATGTGCATTATTTTTGATGAAAGTGGCCGTACTACCACAAGTGCATGGCTAGCATGAGTGGTATTAGCCACTTTCATCAAATGCTTATGGTATTTTTCATTAATTCTTCTTGAATGATGGTATTCCCTATACTTACACCCTAAACCCATGAAGAACTATTAACTAATAATTAGAAAATGATAGAAAATCAAGGATTTTCAACATTTATTACACTCTTAATAATTTTTCATGGGTTAATTTCCTATTTCCACTCTGCTATTATAACTAACGGCATATTGCAATTGTTCATTAAACGTGTACTAGCTAAGAAAATATTGACCTCGTTAGAAGCCTATTGCATGTCATTGGTTAGAGATAAATTGAGTCAATTTCAAATATCCGTTCCAAAATGTCCTTCAGCGAGGATAAAACTCTGTAGGCTAGGTTAGTCTTGGCATACAAAAGTATATCTTTGAAACTATTGCTATGCAGGGAGTCTCTGCTTTTGGGTTTTGGTTAACAAACTATAATCATTTATCTGGTATAAAGACCTTTCTTTGGCAATTAACTCAAAAGAACTCTTTGATAGAAATTTAATGCATGCTGCAATGCTGCCCTATATTTATGAAATTGCTTTGAGAAATTCTTTAAAGACACATCCTCTGCACTTATATATCATGCAGAGAAATTGCTAAGACAAAAAATATTGCCTAAATGAGGAAATTCAAACTAAAAATCATTTGCAAGTAGTTGTGTTCACTAAAATCAAATGTTTAGAAAACTATTGCAGCAGTCAAAGCCCACATTTTTCTTTTCATTGGAGGTTCTCAACAAATGGGTCTTTTCTTGCATATTGAATTTCCCAAATTTTTGTCAGAAGCGTCAACATTTGTATATCCATATCTTTCCATAATGGACACAATAGAAGTAACACTACGCTCCAATTAAAATTTTGCTTTAATTTTAGTCACAATGACAACAAATCTTCACACTTCAAACAAAAATTTCAATTTTACGAAATTCTTCTGTGCCCTCTGAGCCTCATTCTTAAGCATTCCGGATTGACATTGTGAAAATAAAGGCTATTGCTGACTCCAACAATTTTTCTTCCTATTGACATAATATTTTGATTAAACTTGAGGTCAAAGTTGGTGTTGTTTGAAAGAGGAATGATAAGTGTTAATAAAGCCATATTTAGTTTGTGAATCTAGTGAATTTTGTACATAAAAAGAATACAGCACAAGGGCACATGACATACTTTGATCCTTTGATCTTCGACTTTTGCTCAATACAAATTYGTGACCAAGATAATTTACAATGTGTTATTCTTGTGTGTTCAGGATGATGACAATGTAAAGTTGACAATTGCTAATCTAGAATAGACCCTTTTCGAGTTCCAAAGTACTGCTGTGTTTCTTGAATACAGACTCATTTACTCAGGCTTAGCCTCGATTTTGTGAAGAATGTTCACATGTTCCAGTCAYGGTCCGTCAAGTTTCGAAGTGTTCGTATTGTTGAACTYGTGCATTCTTTACATTACATTATTTTGGTATTTGCGAGTAATTAGACACTGATTCAAGTCTGAGTAAATGAGTCTGTAATCAAGAAACACAGCGGTAATTTGGAACTCAAAAAGGGTCTATTAGATTTGGGGCATTTAGGTATTAGTTCTGGAAAGTTYTGCATCGAAATAGGGCAACCAATTTGAATAACTATTGTTCTGGACTAACTTTCATACATGTCAAAATGCTTTTACTTTTCCATGTGAACATGAGAAAAGTAATGTGGAAAAGTAAAAGCATTTTGACATGTATGAAAAACTAGTCAGTCCAGAACAATAGTTATTCAAATTGGTCACCATTTTTCGATTCAGTGTATACTTCATTCAGTAGTGGAAAATTTAGTGCCATGCGGCTACCATGTTACGGGTTACCCTGATGAAAGAATAAAATGGCATTTTCTTGTGGGGTAACTCTTCAAGTGTACAAAATCCACTCTACAGTAGAGGGGTACCATGAGGTAAACCACTACTGGATATTGTTAATCTAAAATGCTAACCAGTGACCTTGAAATGGCTAGTAACTATGACAGAACAAGGTGCAATATATATCGTTAGAAAAATTAGCAACAATCCTCTTTCAAATGCTTTAAAGACAAAGTGCTCTTTTGGTAGATTCTGATTTGCAACTCAATTCTAGAGGTGGCTAAATATTAAAAAAATCATGTCATATGGAAATAATTCACAAATTTTAAATATATTGCAGGAAAACACTAAGATATCTTGCTAATAATCTCCTTAGATGTATGTTATTCTATATACAAATCACTGAACAAGTACCTTGTTCAAGAAAATAACCCTGTACCGCTGTAGAGCTGTCTATTTCAGAGTACATATGGCTGCCGTTGTAGATTTTTGTGCTTAATAACTGAATACATGTCTTTCACCTATTGTTTCATGAAGCACGCAGATTGTTGCAAGCTACATGTCGCATTCACCTCATGCAAAGGTCTTGAGATTTCCAGACAAATACAAGCTCTGTTGTAATGACTGGTCAGGGGTAGGTGTGCTTGATTTGGGGTTTCTTTCATGAGGTGCCCAACGTCTCTAGTCAATGTCGCTTCATATGAAGAGACAAGTGATCCGATCTTGAGAAGCATCGCTCACAATGAACGCACTTGAACGGTTTTGCTCCAGTATGTTTTCTGTAGTGTCTCGTAAGTTCGTCAGATCTTGCAAACCGCCAAGTGCAGCCTTCCCATGAACACTTGTAGGGTTTTTCACCAGTATGTGTACGGCGATGTGCCTTTAGGTGTGAACTTTTTGTATACACTTTTGTGCAGCCCTCATAATCACACTTGTGAACCCGTCTTCTCTTCATACCGTCATGAGTTTTTAACCTATAATAATAGTAATAATAATACCTTGGTTAGAATGAATYATTAGCATAAATATGACTTTTTAGGGTAATATCTCTTACTCTGAAGTGCGACGTGGATCTTTAACCATGGTTGGGCTGTCTCCACTGTGAACGAAAACAAAATTTTACAACTGTCATTCAAGAGGTGTAGGTTACCAGTCATTTTGCACAACTGCCTTTTCGCACAAGTCATTTCAAACAAAAGCAATCCTTTTTTGCAGAAATTCAAAAATYGATTCACATAAAATATGTTTCATAAAAGCAACATAAAATGGTCATTAATTTGACCTCTGTATTATTGCATTYCTTGAGTATAAGATTCTTTGTTTGAGTTTTATTGGTGTTAATTTGTCTTCTCACGCACAACCATTGCATAAAGAAATGATACTHAAGGGAATTAAGTGGTCGGAAAGTAGAAAACATTATGCCCACCCTTAAAAAGGGTCATTAATTGTTAAATCTGTTCAATACATRAATCATAAACAACTCACTCATCTGAAGCAATGTGTGGAGAATGCGTAGAAGGGTAATCTTCATCTGTCGGTATTAAATACTCTTCTTTTATGTGGTCACCAGGGGATACAATAACAGTTGGTGGACTATCTTTCCCATTACAACGGCCACTGTTATATCGAAGAGGAGAGTCTGATCTCTGCTGCAACAGAATATACAAATATATAAAATAAGTATATRCTATGAAAAAATTAATTTGCCATCTATATATTTTATTACCTGATAATCATCTTCATCTGCTGGTACCACTCTGATTACTGTCGTTCTCTGTACATGTCCCTCTGGGTCAAGCTTGGAAAACAAACCAAATATTGCTTTTATGTCTTTACTTCTAATTAAACCAGGTTTTCATTAGCAACACAAGRATATAAGCAAGCAGAAGCACTCAGAAAGAAATAAAATTTGATTCTTGTGCTTGTGTGAAGCCAGTTTTTCACAATGAAATGAAGACTCTAGAGCTTGTGTTTGTGCGTGCATCATAACTTTTTACAAGCTTTCTAACTAAAACATGGTTTGGCTTGACAAAGCCACAGTAAGCAAACTACTGAATTCAATGATCAATCCCTGTGAAAATCAAAATCAAAAAATATCTGAAGTATTAAGCTTAGTGTGGTATGTGCAATACCTGTATAACATGAGGTTGTGAGTAGCAATTTTCTAGGGCATCTCTCGAGCTGYAAAGAAAATTTGAAAATTTATTAGAAAAGGATCATGATGATGACAGTATAGTAATGGTTTTAAAGGTAATTTGGGCAACATATATAATAATGACGAGGAGAAGAATAGGCACTATGAGGGTATGTTGACGAAATAGAAAATGCATGCATATGCTGTGTGCAGTGACAAAAGCAGAAATGAATATAACAAAACTWGCCTTTCCTAGAGTCAAGGCTAAGCCTCTACATCCTAGAAATTATGGTGAGACTAGGGAATTACAGAACAATATCACAGTGCATCCTGTGGCTTTATCAATAAAAGGAATTTTTTCATTGCTTACATATAACTATAAATATATATTTAAAAAACGGCAACTTGACCAGCAATTTCCTTCCTTAGCTTCATTCAATTCTCAAAATTTAAAAAGTGCCTATTTCCTTCTACAGCAGTAGAAATAAATCAGCCTTTCTTGTTTTAATAAAATGTATAGCCTTAAAAGTTGTAATTTTAATTACTGTTTAATTAAATGGCTTCCAATGTGAATGTTTCATAAGCATAATGCCTGTCATAATTCACAGCCCTACAGCAAATCTACGAAGATTTCGGCCATTAAGGATCTTAATTTATGGGCTATGCTTTGCATTACCACAGTTGAGACTACCTAGCAAGAACAGAGAGATTATTACAAATAAATAAATCTGTAAATGYCTTTTCAAGTATGAAGAGTAACTCTCTTCAAGGTAAATAATTTACAGTCATAATATATAAACAAATCACTAACAATAGGGAGGCATTTTATTTTTATAATTTGAATCCTAAAAACAAGAATCAAATTGCTTTTGGTTGATTCAGAGGTTCAAGTTTTAAGCTTCACCTAATAATTATAGTTCAGGGGCTTAGTAAAATAAATATGCTCATCTCAATACTGAAAGAAGGCAGGGCATCTTTATCATATCACATCCAATGTTTATCAAAATGCTTTGAAGTGATTGGACAAGGCATCATTATTGAGGGCATACTTAGAGGGTAGGACTTAATAGGGCGGGTCCAATACACATAAAAGAAAAGGAGACTCCTCTAAAACTTTCTTTCATTGTATGTATAAATCAAATACAAATCAATCTTATTATATTATCATGCAATTCTTTTATACTTGGTAAAACAAAAAAGCAAGTATTATAGAAGGTCTTCATGTATCAACGCCCCCAAAGGTTCCACATTTTTGATATTGGAGAATTCTTTTAGGTCTATTGGGTCTTAGAAAATAAAAAAAGCTACTTTCTTTAAAATATATTATCAAATTTAACAAATTATTTAGGAATAAGAATTTAAAAAGGCAACAAAATGTGCGGGAAAAAATTCCAGGAACAGGAAAAACCTCCAAGATGTTACGTTCAAAATGAATTGGGCTTTCGAAACTCTACATTCGGTTTACTTAAGCTTATGTATATTCCTGCATATTCCTGAAAGCGTTCTCTGAAAAATTAATGCCTGAAAAATTATAAAAGCCGTGAAAAGACAAAGAATTGCTAAGTAAACATGGTTTCCGGAAGCTCTCTTTTGGTCCAACGAACCGAAAAACAGCTAATATCACAGCAAGACTACTGGAAAAAACATCACAAAAAATCAAAGCTCAGGAAGAAAAGACATGAAGTTTGGAGCTTGAATTGAATTCTTTTTTTCTGGTGGATTTTGTTGGCAAATTAATGGCTGGGACAATAACATTATCAGGTTAAATACGAAGTGTTTGTGGAGTAGTTTTAGAACAGGAAGCTGGAAGGCACAGGGTCGATGGAACACGCTTTTACCACATTATTATTAAACTGACGATCGTAATACACTTAAATTCAGTGTCCATTCAACACACTGATTTAAAAAGYCTTTATCGTGGGATTTAGATAATAATGCCAGGTAAATCAGTATATTTTTAAGCCGGTAAAGGTACATTTATTATTCAAGATTGGCTGCCTTGGTATAAAATGCTTCCCACGCGAAATTAAAATACGAAAATGCTCAGAGCAAAACGGCAAATCGGCAAAACACATCCTTGAATCTGAACTCCTCAGAGTTTTCACCTTCTTTTAGAATATAACTTGCATAAACTGTGCATAGACAGAGATCGGGGCTCGAGTGTAAAATGCTTGGCAATGTTTAGCCTTTTTCTAGTGTTGGATCTAAGCTCATATTCAAAACATTACGTTGTATAATTTACAATGTAGGGAATAAAAGCGCTGTAGGGACAGCTTGAATCGTCAATCGAATTCCACTAAGGTTTTGTAAATCTTTCTCGGTAAAACAGTGGCTCATCGCCATCGAGTAGACATATTTGAGTCCAGACATGACCGGAGCTTTACTGGTACAACCGATCGACCGGCTTTAATGTATATTCTCTAAGCAACATTAACATGATGCATGTGTTCACAAATCTATGCCTAAACTCCATCCAATTTTCCCCCGATACCCGCCTTACAACAAACTAGAATCAAGCTAGAAATACCAAACTCCATTCTACATACCAGGATATCTGGCTACAGGCTTCACACGTGGCTGTTTCTTCTGTAAAGTAAAGAATATAACAGCGAGTCAGAACCAAGCATCGAGTGGCTTTTTTGCTATTGTTCGTCAGCGACCGGATAAAAATGGCGGCCCCAACAAAAACCCATCAATTGACTAACCTTCGAGTAGCGAAGAATCAAATTGACAAGCCTGATCCTGAGTTTTCTTGGCTCTTTTTTGTATAGTTCGAGTATGTGTGGAGCTTTCTTCGCTCGACGCCATCTTGTTCGTCAACTAAAACAAGACGTCAATGACCACACCCGAAGTCTTGCGGCCGGCACGAAAATCTCCCTTGGGGGATGGGGAGAGGCAGAAATTCGACAGCGTCGGTTTTTCGCTTCTACATTTTTACAAAGGGGACAAAGAGATTTTTGCTACCGTGAGGTGGTTTCTATAGAAACGCTTCCTCTATACGTGGCGATTGGATAAGCAAGGAGATGAAAACTGCCAGAGAAATGTTCAAGTCAGGAGTGGTTCTATTGTTTGGCTTGTATCGCCACGCCTGGGCCTCGCTAGCTGGCGGAGTTGTTGGGCGTTTAGGCTGCGTTAGGAAAGAGACCGGCTTTCTCGCAACAGAACGCAACTCATTTAACCATGATATAACCATGGCATTTTCTATTTATATAGAAGCCTTAAATAAATTATCGTAATATATCTGTACGATAGAGAAAGATTTATTCATGAAACTAATAAGTCTTTGTTCGCTACATGAATATTAAGTACACGAAATCTAAGGGTTATTGCTATCCTAGAAAAATAACTAATGTGAGTTTGAAGTAGCGAAAGCAATTCGAGTGGCTAAGAACGCTTTCTAAACACACCGTGAGATCGTGACACCGCCCTTCGTGACCTAAACACTGAACAAGTTACAACGTAAATTTACCAGGAGAAATAGGCGATATCTCTTTCGATTCTAGAGCTTTTTATCTTTTATTGAAGAAATTTACTCAAATAGACTTGCCAGGGCTTTGCTTTTTCTTCTTCGCTTTTTTCCGAATTACGAAATAAAAGATTCAAAAATATGTCCTCACAACACGAGTTGTAAGACAATAGAAGGGTTGTTTGTTGCATGTCTTACTGGTTCGTTGGATACTGAATGGCGAACTTAGTTGTCTAGGTGCAAATGAGAGGCTCATCGTAGTTCTAGGAGCTGATAATTAGAAAAGATTTGGGTGGGGAATGCTCGTACGAGGCTCCATTCGAGATTGGTATTCGAAGCAGTTCAAGTAAATTCCTCAAGGATTTCCGGTTTGAATTATTGAAAGTTCACCATTCATCAATGGGCGTTATTTTAAGAAAACTATTTTTCTTGAGTCCTTTAAGATGCCTCAAAACTTGCATTTTTTTTCGAGATGGGATGCATTTTCCCTGCAATTTTAAAATTTGCTTTAAGAAAAAAAAACGCACCAAAAGGGATCCGAATTCAAAGCAAATAATATTTTTTTTGCCAATTAAGACTCCTCACTTGTTAACCTTTAGATTTCGAAAAGGACTATAGAAGAAAAAAAAGATTAAAGAAAAACTGCCGTACATAGAAAATATTCTTAATTTATAATGCAAAGTAAGGCTGTTTTCTCGGTATATTTGGCGGACCTTAGCAAGGGACGTACGTAAGGCTGATCATGATTAGGAATAGGCGTCACACAACTTCGATATGTACATTCAGTCAAAGACAAAAGAAGATTCGTAGAATAACAGCGTTTCTTGTTTAATGTTTATAGATACGAGAATCGAAACGCGTTTCTGTGAGAAATTCTGCTTGTAAAAATTGATTATCTATAAACAATTTCAATCTCAAAACGACATGAAATGTTTAAGATTAATTTGAATCGCCTACTTGGCGGATTTTCCTTCTATTTACATACTGTTCAAGTGAAAATGATTATGATAATATAAGTAACGCCTTTAGAACCGATTTGATGAATATATCGGTCAGGTCAGTTCTATTGACGTATTTTATGAGTCCAGGCAATCTCGAAATTTTGATTCTTTGAGTTTTTTTAAATATATATATAGGAATATAGCTTGCGGAGGGGAATATCGAATGTTTTGGCTTTCCCCCATACGGCTTTTCCATCGCATGATTTCATTTTAACAAACGCTTTAACGGTGTGATGTAGTAGTAGGCATAGAGCATGAGTGTGGAGCACCAGTGACGGTTCTATATGATCACCTTTTCATAGGCTGGAAATTAAGCGAAAGAGGCGTAAGTTTACATATTCTAGTGATTTAAGACGAGAAAAAAATGAAGCTATTAAAGAGCCATATCAATGATGATAGCGCGCTAGCGCGTCGTGGTTGTTAAGGCTAGATGGTTATCACAGTCGACTAGCGTTCGAAGCAACCAAAACTTGAAGGTCGCTTGGTTTATTCTCCCTTGATTAATTCGAGGATTTTTCTCCGGGTGTCCTCCGGTTTTTCCTCTCCTGCAAAATTTCACGTGTACACGCTATAGGTTGTTCAGCCAAGGTATAATAAGATTGGAAGTTTGTTGTTGTTGTTGCGCTGTTGTTGTTGTTGTTATGTTTTTTTTAATAATTAAATTAGTTAATAAAGTGAAAATTTTGATCTAAAATGAGGCATAAAAAAGGAGGACCTTAATGTTGATCCTATACTGATATTGTTGGTGGCTCCCCCACGGTCTTGCGCTTCTGTCAACAGTCATTGAATTATTACTGCCACTCTCAATCGGACATATTACACGTCTCGAGATTCTGCTTCTGTCATTTCTGTCGCCGTTGAAAGTGTGAGAATTTGCGGAGATTGAACCCATCAGCTGTGAATCAAGACGTAGAGACGAGATAGAACAGAATAGGACATGTAGTCAGGAAGGATAGCGAGAATTACTGTATGACAACATTGAGGTGGACGCCAGAGGATCGTTGGGATAGTAGAGGGAGACTAAAGTGATTTGGAGAAGGACAGTTGAGAAAGAACGCCGGAAACTGCGGCAAGGCGGGATGAACAAGCTGCAATGCGGCTAAAGTGGTGGCGCAGAGCAGAATGGGTTATGTTGAAGGAATATYGTGAATGTCTCTCATATGCGCCTCTTGGTAAGGTGATTATGGTGATGATGATGATGACGATGATGATAATGGTGAAATGGTGTCCCAATTTCATTCCCAAATCCACTTTGCATGGGGTCAGAGCCAAGTATGGCTCATGCAAATGACCCCTGGTAATTTCAGTCTCTTTGCGCACATCATGCTATATACCCTTTTATCTTGGGCGTAATGTTTCCTTCGAGTTGTATCTCGTGCGCAAACATTACGCGAAAACAAATGATACGCCCCAAGCTAAAAGAGTCAATTCCCATTTTCCAGCGAAGTGAAGGATAGCATAGCTCGATCCTAAATGTCAACTTTCCCATTTTCATCTTTCCCTTTAGTAAATTTCAGTACTGTTACTTGTTTTTCTCTTGCCGCAAAAGCTAACACGCTAAATCCCGATTTGATCTGTGAGTTAGCCCGCTTGTCCTTGTATCAGGCCATGTTTAACTAAATTTAAAGGTAAAG